ATGCAAAATATATTTTTAAAAAAACTCAAGAAACTAGACATCAATAAACCAAATAATCCAATTTGAAAACGGGTACAGATCTAAATAGAGAATTCTCAACACAGGAATCTCAGATAGCTGAGAAACACTTCAAGAAATGTTCAATATCCTTATCCATTAGGGAAATGTAAATCAAAATTACTTCTAGATGCCATCTTATACCTGTCAGAATGACTAAGATCAATAACACAAGTGGAAACTCATGCTGGGGAGGATGTGGAGCAAGGAGAATACTCCTCCATTGCTGGTGGGAATGCAATCTAGTTGAGCCACTATGGAAATCAATATGGTGGTTCCTCAGAAAATTGGGAATCAATCTACTTCAAGACCTAGCTTATACCACTCTTAGGCATATATCCAAAGGACACTCCATCCTACCACAAGGAAACTTGCTCAATTATGTTCATAGTAGCTTTTTTCTTAGTAGCCCAAAACTGTAAACAACATAGATGTCCTTCAACCAAAGAATCAATTAAAAAAAAAAGTGGTGCATTTACACAATGGAGTATTACTTAGCTGTTAAAAACAAAGATATCATGAAATTTGCATATATCTAGAACTAGAAAAAATCATCCTGAATGAGGTTACCCAGACCCAGAAAGACAAACATGGTATGTAGTCATTAACAAGTGGATATTAGCTGTTAAGTAAATGATAATTACGCTACAATCCACAGACCCTGAAAGGCTAAGTAACCAGGGCTTAAGGAGGGGGTGCAAGAATCTCCCTGGGAAGGAGAAATAGAATAGATTTTGCTTGTAGGTAGACTGAGGGTGGGTGGGAATGGGATCATTCCCAAGAGGGATCAGGTTTGGGGGGAGGGGGAGGAATGGAGGTAGATGGTATGGGGAGAGATGATTGGAACTGGAGGACATCGGGGAGGCAATGTGGAAACCTAGTGCAGTAGAAACACCCAGGATTCTATGAGGATGACTCTATCGAGGACTCTGTCTTGCTTTGGATTTCTATTGCTGTGAAGAGACACCATGACCATGGCAACTCTTATAAAGGAAAACGTTTGATTGGGGCTGTCTTACAGTTCAGAGGTTTAGTCCATTATCATCATGGTGGGAAACATGGCAACATGCAGGCAGATATGGTGCTAGAGAGGCAGCTGAGAGCTCTACATATTGATCCATAGGCAGCAGAAGGAGACTATGTGCCACAATAGGCATAGCTTGAGCATATGAGATTTCAAATCCTGCCTCCACAATGACACACTTCCTCCAACAAGGCCACACCTCCTAATAGTGCCACTCCCATGGACCAAGCATTCAAACACATGAGTCTATGGGAGCCATTCCTATTTAAACCACCACAGATTCCTAGTAAAGGATACAGAGACTGAACCGGCCATCTTCTGTAACCAGGCAAAGCTTCCAGTGGTGGGACTGGAACACTAACCCAGCCACAAAACCTTCCTCCTACAATCTATCCTGCTGTCTGCAAGATGTGGTAGGGAAATGGAGCTGCAGAACTTGTGAGGGTGGCCAACCAATGACTAATCTAATTTGAGGCCCAGACATGAGTGAGAGCCCATGCTCTACTGTGCCTGGGTGACCAGGAATGGGAGTAGGAACTGGATAGCCAGAGACCTTGGGAAACCCCAGGGAAGAAGGGGAGGAAGAATTGTAGGAGCCAGAGGACTCAAGGACACCAGGAGAACATGGCCCACAGAATCAACTAAGCAGGGCTCATAGGAGCTCACAGAGACTGAAGCAACAATCACCAGAGCCTACATGAGTCTGCACTAGGTCCTTTGTTTATATCTTAGTTAGGGTTGTTAGCTTAGTGGCTTTGTGGGACTCCTAACAGTGGGAGTGGAGGTGTCTCTGACTCTTTTGCCTGCTCTTGGGACCCTTTTCCTCTTACTGGATTGCCTTGCCCAGCTTTGATATGAGGGTTTGTGCCCAGTCTTACTGTATCTTGTTTTTCTGAGTTTGGCTGATATCTGTGGGAAGCCTGCTCTTTTCTGGAGGAAAACAGAAGAGGAATGGCTCCGGGGATTAGGGAAGGTGGGGCCGGGAGGTGCTGTGGGTAGAGGGAAAGAGGAAACTGCTGTCAGCAGATATGAGAGAAGAATAAATGAAAAGTAAACAAACAAACAAACAAATAAAAAGTTATGACTATATTTTAAGAATGGAACTTATTAGAATCTAAGGTTGTTCATGTATGTATATGTAAGATTGCATATATTAGCCGGGCATTAGTGGCGCACACCTTTAAACCCAGCACTTGGGAGGCAGAGGCAGGCAGATCTCTGTGAGTTTGAGGCCAGACTGGTCTACAGAGTGAGTTCCTGGACAGCCAAAGAAACCCTGTCTCAAATAAATAAATAAATAAATAAATAAATAAATAAATAAATAAATAGGAAGGAAGGAAGAGAGAGAGAGAGATTATATATATTTTGCCTTTCCAACATTTGATAACCACAAGCATATTGAGGCGTTATGGTGAGTGAAACCAATAATTGAATGAGTGCTGTTAAAAATAAAGCTTTTTGAAAGCAAGGCAACAAGGAGGAGTGGTTAGTTTTAGATCCGGGTCTCACTGTTTGTAAAATGTCAAACTGGTGTTGACACCTTCTCTGGTGGTTTGCATGGGAATGGCTTCCTATCATAGGCTTACATAATTGAATGTTTGGTTCCTAAGGGGCATTCTCATTCAAACCACCACACTTACTTCGTGAGTAGCAGCACTGGCTAAGACATCTTACCATGTTTACCTAACAGCCGCACTCTCTAATACCCGCACTCTCCGTGTTGGCAGACACGTCTTAATATTTATCCGAGGGGCACTGTAAGCAGAGGACTCCATTACTCTTAGAATGCCCAAGTAAGGACATTCAAGAAGCTTAGTGTCAACCGTGAGCCAAAGTAGACGCTTGAAGGAATAAAAATGCACCAGAAATGGAAACTGAGCTAGTATTTCCTAGAAAAGCCTCTGATGGTGTCACTGTGGTTATGCCCATAGCTGACTGAGTTTCTCGTTTGCAGAAGGCCATGTCACAGGCATAGGCTGACATTTTGGTTCACATGTTGGGCTCCTGCTGCCTTGCACAAACCGCCTCCTCTGTCTTAGGCTTGCTCTTTAGAAAGCACACCAGCAAGCCTCCCTCTCCTCTCTAACTAGACAGGCAGCCACCTACAACGAGGAGGGAGAGGAGGAGAATGGAGGGAGACAAAGAGAAAGCTCTGCACTGACGAAAGGGCCCCAGACTCCCCAAGAATATTGTCATTTTCCAACAACTTTGTAACTCTGGTGAAAGTTTTGAAAATTCTAAATACCTGTCATTTTGGTTGGCCAAAGAGAGTGAGCTCTTTCGGAAAAGGGCTGATTCAACTCAATAAAACTTTATTGAGCTTCCTGTCTTCTGCCCTCCATTGTGCCATGTGCTAGAGGCAAGAGAGCAAGCAGGTGTGGCACACAGGACCCTTGGGCTCTAGGAACTTAAAACCTAGGGTGCAAGTGGGATGAGAGAAGCACTCTTATGTACAACTAGTAGCACAAGTTCTAGCTGACCTGAACCCTGAGTTAAATGACAGACATAGACAGGGAACATTCTTCTAAGCTATGTAAGAAAGGCCGTCTGATGGATTTGCCTCTGGAGAAAGAAAAACCAACGAAAGTTGTATTGTCACAATTTGATGTACTTGCTTCACAGTCTTTAAACTTGCCTCTTAAACTCTCATGTCTTACTCTGAGGTAAATAAAATGTCTCAGGGGCATTTAAAGCAATGAGCATCTGATGGTAATGCTGTAAGGTAGATGGAGGTCAGTAACCAGTGGTCTTTGGGCATTTTAGACTATATTCCTTCAGAAAAGAAAAAGGGTTCTAAGACCTCAGTTTCAATATATGTTCAGCTGCTTTTCATTTTGTATGCATAGGGGAATAATTAATAAGCTAAATAGAATTATTGAAAAACAACCTAACCCACAAAGCACAGAGTTTATCATCAATATTTGGCCACCATAGCTTTTATATCATATCATCTCTGATATCACTAGCCGTCCTTTCAACTAACCAGAAGCTAGTGTGTACTTGCTTATTCATTATTAATTTAGCTTATTCTCATTTGGTGTTAACAAAACTTATAAATTCGGGCTTTTGAATGTTCTGAAGAAAAAAATAGGTACCATATTATGGGCAATCTTACAGAGAAGTGAGCAAATTTGAAATATTTATTTCTGTAAAAAAAAATAATTAATGATTTCATTCTATCGCTCAGGCGGGCCTGGAATTTACTGAAGCCCTGTTGCCTAGGATCACAGCTGAGAAACGTTACACCTGGTTTACATTACCTACTTTAGACTGAGACAATTCCGTTAGCCTTGTTACAAAAGATTTCCACAACTCTGAGCCATCTTGGTACAAAGCAGTGTTGATTCTGAAATTTAAAAGCTTTATTTGTAGCCCTCGCATAACTTACTAGAGAATGTAAATCACATGCGGCACAATCTATTTGCAAGTCGTGGATTCTAGATGTGCACCTTTCCCAGCTTTAACTCCGGGCAAAGTAGAAGGCAGAAAAGCTGAAGTCCTAGATCAGAGCTAGTGGCCTGGGCGGGGCGGGAGGTGGGGGAGGAGGGGGCTGGGGACCACACTGAGACAGCAGCACACACACACACACACACACACACAGACACACACACACACAGACACACACACACACACACACACACACACACACACACACACACCACACGTGCTTCTGAAGTTCTGCTTTGTTCATCCGCTGATACTGAGTGAAAGAAAAAACTTTAGTTAGGCGTGTTAGAGTCTCAATGTGAACACAGATAAAAAAAAATATTTTACCCGGTGTATTTTGTTTTGAGCCCCCGCTTCTGCTTTGTGTGTCCTTAAAGGGACGTTTAAATAAATGGGATGTTAGTTAATGAGTTGCTAAGTGGCCCTGGGTCGGGTCGCGCGTCAGCCTTGTCATTTTCTGGCACATGCCGCCGCCCCGCACTGGGTGGTTTCCCTCTGTTCTCAGAACCGCACTAAGCACAGGGGCGCTCGCTGCTGGGGTCACACGCCCAGGTTCCTTTCTCACTTAGTTTTAAACCCTCCCTCTGCGGCTCCGGAGGGCGTGGTGAGAGCGCAGGAGGTATTTCCCCAAGGGTCGGGCACCCCCGCTTGGGCTCTTGTCGTGGCCACAGCGAGGGAGGACCACGCTGTCGCGCGGGCTCCCGCGGGTGGCGCGGCGCGGCCAGCGGGGGCCAGGATCCCTCTCCGCGTCCTGTGCGCGGAAATAACTGGTGAGTAGCGGTACCGGGCGAGCACCGAGCAACCCGGTAAGGCGGCCTCGCGACTCCGGGGTTCATTGTCGGACTTCCCTTCACCCTCGGGCTCTGGCTGGTCCTCAGACTGAGCCTCGCAGGCTTCCCTGGGGTAAGAATAGTGGTTGGCGCCCTTGACGAAGGTCTGGAAGGGAGCCACACCTCGGGGTCAGCCGTGACCCTGGCCCACACTTGGGAGACTGAGGCAGGGCATCACGGCTTCCTTACAGAGTGAGGTGCTGTCTTAAAAGTAGAGAAGAGAGGGAAAGAGAGATTGGGTTCCCTGTTCTCCATCTGTGAGGAATGGGTACAGCGCCCCTTTCCCTGTGCATCCCCCACTCCTGATCAGTGAGTCCTCCTCTACCCCGTTGCTAGGCACAGCAGTACGCTCAGATTTGTGCCTCATGGCTCTTCAGTTGTCACCGTGGTTAGATAGATAGGCTGACAAACTGAACCTCAGTCTGGCTTTAGAGGAGAAGAATCGTCTAAGTAAGTGTTGCAAATAGTTTTTCAGTAATGGGCTGGCTTTCCTGCTGCTGCACCTGGCTTGTTCTCTAGCAAATTTTTGCCGTCACTGCTTTTAAAATGTAACCACCAAATCTCAGAAGAGATCTGGAACAACGGTTTCCTTTGCTCTTGGAAATTTCTAGTACTCTTCGCAATCGGCAACAACTTTTTTTTTGTTGGTTTTTAAGATAAAAATATGAATTAATGATAAGAATATGAATTGAATGTCCGTTTTTCTCACTGCATTTGTGGCCACTGTAACCAGTAGAAGACCTACTTCATTCCTTCAAAGTTAAAACTAGAGATATAGTTAAGAGGATAGCAAACGAAGAGATGGCATCTAGTTTTAATCAAATTAATCTTTCAGTGGCACTAGATGAATGCTTAAAGAGAGAAATCAGAAGTTCAGACTAAGCACTACCTGAATTTTAACAATGTCCTTGAAAAAAATTGGTGTTCTTTTCCTTTTCAGCATCGGAACAGGAGGGTTATTTACTGAGCACTTGCTATATACTGGGTCCAGTGTTTAAGAGCATCTCAAAAACTATTTAACCCCAAAATAGTCTCGTGACTAAGCAGGGACCGTTTTATTTCTCATTCCGTAGATAGGCCGCACAGCTAGAATCATCAGCTGGGACTGCTGCTTTTTCCCAGGTCTGCTGCTCAATTCTTGACTAGCCCAGTTGTTCAGGGGGCTCTTTTGAAAGCTTGATTAAAGTGTGAAGAGCAAACATCCCAATGCAGCTGTGAATTAGCTACTTTGTGGCATTGACTTGGGAGCACTAAGGATCACTGAAAATAGATGAGCTATATAGGCCAGTTCCCACAGAACTGGAAGAGGCAGCCTAAGAGGAGATGCTGCTGGCTAGCAAGCATCCAGAGTGATGGAGGAGTGAGAGGAAAGCATGGAACATGCTCAATGTGGCTCTGAATCTGCCCCTAAGTTTCCCGTGCCATCCTGATCACTACATGTTTCACCACAGTCTAGAAATGACAATCGTTACTTTGTATAGTCAAGCAAGGATTAATAACTAAATTATACGCTCTGCATTCTGTAAAAATTGTTAACCAAGGCCACAAAAGATGATCAACTTTAGATTAATCAGAATGTGTTTTGTCATTAGAATGTCAAGGAAAGGAACTGGTTAAGCAAACGTCAGGCAGAGATATTGACATGTGGGTTGTGAGGGTAGAAACTTCAGCTGAACTCTCTATATGAGAAACCCTGTAGGATGGCTGTTCGTTTTGAGTTCGCCTTATTTTATGAAAAGGCAGAGGGTGATGTCGCAAGATGAAGCGAACTTGTCAGGATTTCCCAGTGCTCAAGAGGCAGAAATGAACCTCCTGCCTCCACGCACTGATCACACACAGAGACATCAGCACTGAGGTATCGGATAGAGGCCTGTCCCATAAACTGAGGAAGAAACATCTTGCAGGAGATTTGATGTTCTTTTTAGGAAGGATTTATTATTACTGTTTTTAATTATGTGTATAGGTGGTGGTGAGGAGTGGGTATGTACACAGGAGTACAGATGCCCATGGAGGCCAGAGGTGTTCAGCGCCCTGGAACTAGATAGAGTTCCAGGTTGTTGTGAGCTGCCTGAGGTGGGTGCTGGGAACTGAACTCAGGTTCACTGCAAGAGTGATTCCCACTCTTAACCATTAAGCCATTTCCCCAACCTTATGGTTTAATTATCTCAATAAATGTTGGTTGCATTTGGTTTCATTTGGGGTCATTTTCCTTTGTTCTTTGTTTTGTATTCTTTGAGTTTTTGGTTTCCTTCTGTTTTGTTTGATTTGTTTCACCTTGTTTGTTTGTTTTTTATTTTTACACCCAAACCAAAGTTTCCCCTCCCTCCCTTCTTCCCAGTTCCTCCCCTCACCTCCCCCACCCATCCTTTGTTTCTCTTCAGACACAGGTGGGCACCCCATGGATATCAGCCAGCCATGGCATATCAAGTTGCAATGAGACTAGGCACCTCCTCTTCTATTAAGGCTGAGTAAGGCAATCCAGTAGGAGGAATGGGTCCCAAAAGCAGACAACAGGGTCAGAGACAGTCCCTGCTCTCACTGTTAGGAGTCTCACATGAAGACCAAGTTACACAAACGTAACATATATGCAGAGGGGTCTAGGTCAGTCCCACACAGGCCCCCTGGTTGTCAGCTCGGTCTCTGTGAGCCCCTGTGAGCCCAGGTTAGTTGGTTCTGTGGATTTTCTTGTGATGCCCTTGACACCTCTTGGTCCTACAATCCTTCTTCCCCCTCTTCCACAGGATTCCCCAAGCTCTGCCTAATGTTTGGCTGTGGGTCTCTGCATCGGTTTCCATCAGCTCCTGGGTGAAGCCTCATCTGATGATAGCTTGGCTAGGCACCTATCTATGAGTATAGCAGGTTGTCATTAGGAATCATTTCATTTACCTTTTTTTTAAGATGGGCTTCTTGGCTGTGTTTCTCAGGCTGGCCTTGAACTCCTGTGCTGTAGTGATCTGCCAATTTCAGCTTCCTGAGTGCTGAAGTTACATGTCTATACCACCTTACCTAGTTTGGCCATCTAAATCTTTTAGTCGTTGTAGTATGTGTTTATTTGTACTCATGTGCACACCTGCCACAGTTAGCATGTGGAGGTCAGGGGAAATGTGTAGGCGTCAGTTGTTGGCTTCCACTTTGGGACCCAAGAATCAAACTCAGGTCATCAGGCTTGCACAACAAGTACTTTTAACCTCTGTACAACTTGCTAGCTCTCCTTGTTGTTTGGTTTTGGTTTTGTTTGTTTGCTTTTTCCTTATGCCATGCTGGCTCAGTGATGATGGAATCTCAATGTGGTTTTTATTTGCATTTAACTGGTATCTGGAAATGTTAGGCACTTGTTAGCTATTTATACTTCATCTTTTCAGAACTGTCTGTTCTTTTCATTAGCCCATTTATTGGCTGGGTTGTTTGATTTCTTGTTGTTTAGGTTTCTTTTTTATCTTTATATATTCTACATACTAATCCTCTGGTGTATGATTGGCAAAGATTTCTGAGGACTATCTCTTCAGTTGATTATTTATTTTTCTGTGCAAAAGCTTTTACATTTCATCAGGTCCAATTCTATATACTAATCCTCTGGTGTATAATTGGCAAAGATTTCTGAGGACTATCTCTTCAGTTGATTAACTATTTCTTTTTCTATGCAGAAGCTTTTACATTTCATTAGGTCCAATTTGTCAATTAGGGTTATTTCTTGCATGACTAGAATCCAGTTGAGGAAGTCCCTGTCTATACCTATGTCTAGAAGTATGCTTCTTACCTTTTCCTTCACAATTAAAAAGCTCCTGGTCTTTCATTCAGGCCTTGGCTCTGTTTGGAGGTGATTTTTTTTTATAGGTCCTAGTTTCATTCTTCAACATGTGGATATCCAGTTTCCCCAGGACCACTTGTTGAAAACACTGTCTTTTCGACATTATGTACTTTTAGCATCTTTGTTAAAAGAAAAAAAAATAGGTGGCTGTAGCTATGTGAGTTATAATCTATGTCTTTAGCTCCATAGGTGTCTGTTTTGCATGAATACTGTGCTCTTTTAGTTACATAGTCCTGTAGTACAACTTGAAATCAGGTGTGTGGCACAGCTAGCATTATTCTTTTTTGCTCAGGATTACTTTGGCTATCTGGGATCTCCTGTGCTTACAAACTAATTTCAAGATTTTTTTTTTCTGTTCTTTGAAGAATGTCAATGGAATTTGATTCGTGGCTTTGTTGAATCTGAAGCTTGCTTTTGGAAGTGTCACCATTTTCCCAATATTGATTCTTCTAGTCCATGAACATGGGATGTCTTCCCATCTTCTAGTGGTTCTTTCTTGAGTGTTTTAAGGTTTTCATTGAAGAGGTCTTTCACCTCTTTACTTGGGCTTATTCTAAGGTGTTTATTTTGTTTTGTTTTGGTTGTGTGTGTGTGTGTGTGTGTGTGTGTGTGTGTGTGTTGAATGGGATTGTTTCCCCCAATTTCTTTGTATGTTTGCCACAGGTGTATAGGAAGGTTACTAATTTTTGTATGTTAATTTTGTATCCTGCCAGATTGCTGAAGGTGTTCATCAGTTCTGAGCTGTCTGGTGGAGTCTTTGGTTGGTTGGTTGGTTGGTTGGTTGGTTGGTTGGTTGGTTGGCTGGTTGGCTGGTTGGTTGGTTGGTTTGAGACAAGGTCTCACTGTTTAGTCCTGACTGGGCTGTAACTGTCAAGTAGACCAGGCTGACTTCTAACTCACACAAATCAGCCTGCCTCTGCCTCCCCAGTGTGAGGACTGTCCCACTGAGCTACATTCCCTTAAGTATAGAAAGAAGTCTTCTGCAAACAAATATGCCTTGACTTCTTGCTGTCTTATTTGCTTCCCTGTTATTTCCTTCTCATGTCTTATTGCTCTAGCTAAGACTTTAAATACTTTATTGAGTAAGAATGGAGACAGTAAAAACCCTTGTCTTATTCCTGATCTTAAAGGTAATGCTTTGAATTTTTTTTCCATTTAGCATAATGTTGGCAATAAGTTTGTTGTATATAGCCTTTATTATGTTGAAATATATTCCTTCCATTTCTAATCTTGTCAAGGATTTTTATCTTGAAAGGATGTTGGATTTTGTTTAAATGCCTTTTATGTATCTGTTGAAAAGATCAAGTGATTTCTGTCCTTGAGTTCATTAATGTGCTGTATTACATTTATTGACTTGTGTGCGGTAAGCCATCTGTATATCACAGGAATGAATTGGCAAGATTTTTTTTAAGGATAGATGATAAAGAGATCCTAAAGGGGCTGAAAATAAGCAAGCAAGCAAACAAACAAATAAAAAGCAAACAGTACGGAGTCCTAAACTCAAGCAAGAAAGGAAAGTCCCTATCCTTGGGTAAAAGCTAAGGAGAAGCACAGAGCTGCAAACAGCGAGATGAGCAGGAATCCAGTGATGCCTCAGCAGCCGCACACAGATAGAAGACAGGTGTGTGTGCCAAATTTGGTTCACATCAGTGGTGTTTCAGCTATTGGGTAGAAAGAGAAAACTCTGAAGAAGGGTTGCTGGCTATATGGTGGTTTTAGAAACTGCCTACTAATTTCAGAAGAAGGTAGGAAAGTCTTGCTCTCTCAATTTTACTTAGCTGAAAAGCTGGGTTTGCTAAAGCTTTATGACACCATATGGAAAATTATAAAAGAACACACTAAAAGAATAGATATTGGGGTATCACAGCAGTTAACTATCATGTGATTGGAGCAGACCACCCTCATCAAACAGTGCAGGCCTACATACCCTTCGCAAAAGGCCCCAAGGGTGTATCAAACAGGAGCTATTGCCGCAAAGAAAAGGCCAGATCAGCTTTTTAATGCGATATTTCTGTGCCAGACAAGAACATAACAAAGAAGGTTCCCCGGGTGTCCAGCTTTTGCCAGGTAAGAGGCAGGGATGACACACAAATTGCAAACTTAGATGAAGCTGCACAGATTGGTTCCAGTTCCCAGCAGTAAATGTTCACCATCCTCCTGCTGTTACAGCAGAGGTGAAACAAAATGCTAGAGCAACCTCCCACAGCTTGTAAGCCTTTGAGAGGCAAGCAAAGAGAACACAGGTGACGGTAATTTTTAGTACCTGTAATAGAAAGATTCCTGCTCCCATCACTTTCTTCTAGTGATATGAAAATGATATCATCTCTATCTTCTCCTCCAAAGAAGAGATATATTTTTTTTCAGTACTGACTAGAGAAAATTCTACACTACCAAGGTTCAACCTTCGGTATCTGCAAATGTTAAAAGAAGAATATCAGAGAACTTTCGAGAATCTCAACTTTTGGATTATATATGCAGGAGGAGAGGGACGGACTGAAAAGAAGGCAGCAGCCAGAGGAAGGGCTGAAAGTGGGTGACTTGCAGCACAATGCACCTGGATAGTATCATGTCTGTATGTTTCTTTTTCAGTTGTGTGATTTGATCATTTCATATGTATGTGTATGGATGTTTTATGTGTATGGATGTTTTGCCTGCATGTATGCCTGTGCATCATATCCATGCCCGGGGCCTGTGAAGGCCAGAAGATTGTGTGAGATCCCCTGGAATTGGAAGTATAGATGATTGTGAGCCACCATGTGGATTCCGGGAATCAAATCCAAGTCCTCTAGAAAAACAGCCAGTACTCTTAACTGCTGAATCATCTCTCTTGCCCCAAATTGATAATTTTAATGTTAGTAAAAAAAAATTATTTTAGGCCAGGCGGTGGTGGCACACGCCTTTAATCCCAGCACTTGGGAGGCAGAGGCAGGTGGATGGATCTCTGTGGGTTTGAAGCCAGCCTGGACTGCAGAGTGAGTTCCAGGACAGCCAGGGCTACACAGAGAAACCCTGTCTCAGAAAACAAAAAAAAAAAAATTATTTTATGGAGCGCCAGGCATGGCACATGCCTTTAATCCCATCACTTGGGAGGCAGAGGCAGGGAGATCTTTATGAGTTTGAGGC